ATAAAAAATTTATATCTTTATGTTTGAAGCCTGAAATGTGGCAAAAGGTTGAAAAGTTCAAGGGGGCCGAATACTTTCGCAAGGCACTGTACATTCTGTTAAAAGACACTAACAACTTCATTGATATACATAGTTTCTTATGAAAACATTCAAGATGTGTTTTGGCCTATAGAATCTGTAATGCACTGGCTTTGTATTCAGTTGTTGACTTGGATTGGCTTGATTGAAGAATGGCTTGTGTTCAGCATTGTTCACTGTATTAATGAGATTTCTTTATTTCCCAATTAACTGGCAACAACTCAAACTAGAAGCAGGACGCGTGTAAAGTTAGGTTGTAATTTAACTCACAGTAGCACAGATGTTACCAATAACACAAAGGAGGTACCAAAGGTTTGAACGTTTTTTACTATGTAAAATTATGCTTGCTAAAGGGTCAGTTGCTTGTTATTGATCATTTAATTTCTCAAGGAGTTATCAATCACATTGTAACTCTAAAGTTGTCAAGGTGACAGCGTTAATCAGGCACAAGGACACGTGGATCTAAGGCCTCTAATGTCAGCCACAGAGGGTGATCTGTCCCATTATGCTGGAGATTCCTGAAGCACCAAAATAATTTTGGCTCCTCTTTGGTGTTTTTTTGGAAAATATGCATTCTTATGTTATATGAATTGCATGTGAAAAAAACACGTTTATTGCATTAGAGTTGCCAAAGTTTGAGTAACAGTATGATGTTTTACCTTGGTTCTGTTATTTTATCTTGTTGTTAAGGGTAATCACTTGCACTTGACTCAATATCTGTCATCTTTTTCCATGCCAAGAAATACCATGCATTTCTCAACAAATATGAAACCCACCAGTGCTTTGACAAAATGATCTCCGAGTGATTCCTTTCTGAATAATTTACTGCATACTACAGTTGATGAGTATGTTAAATGCATATGGAAAGCCCTAAAGGACTTCTTACAATCTATTTCCACCGATAATTTGAAAATAACGTGTAGGATCAAGTTGTCTTTAAAATGTATTGATTGAGATTTAGGAAATTTAATAATGTTAGAATAATTGCTGGGAGGCAAAATGAAGATTAAAACCAAAAAGGAAGACAAAGAAAACAACTGCAAAGCAACAATTGGAGTGATGAAAATGAATGAGTCAGGTTTGGGAATTTCTTTGTGGCAATATTAATTTTAAAAATCGCAGTTTTCTTACAGGCAAAACCATTAGGAAATAATGATTTTATTGTCCTTGTCAGTTCCAGGAAATATTTGTTTATTAAAAGAGTCTGCAACTCTGGAGTAACTTGTGTATTCATATTTTGGAGATTGTTGTATATAGACATAAAACTAGTATACGAGCTGTATGACTGCAGCTTTTTCTTGTGTTCTGATTTCATTTTGATAATTGAAAAAAGATTTAAAACTGGGTACTGTTAAATGCAAAAAACAGATGTTGAAAATTCTTAATGGATGTTATTTGCTAAAATTAGATTTGATTTTGTGGATATGTTCCCGCAATTTAATTATAAACCATGGAAGAATGATGTTTGAATTGACAACACACAAAAAAGGCTGTTTTCAGCAGGATGGCAGTACTGCTTTAGGATAGTATATGCAGATTTACAAATGCATTTTATAAAATTCTTTATTGACAACATAAGAAAACATCCCACAGTTCAAAAAGAATGGAAGGCCACAAAAACATTAATATGTGACTTTGATATATTGTTTACATTCAGCTTAGCAGAACTGATATCAAACAGATCAGAGGTTTATTTGACAAAAAAGAAAGTTAACACTGCTGTCTTATCTATAGACACTTATCATTTTGCTTTCAGTGCACACCACCTGTTCTCCCTGGGCTTCAGTCACTGGCTGGGTTATTCTCTGAATTTTTGAAGTGCCATTTTTACAACACTGTTTATGTCTTTACACCCAAGAGTAGTTACCAGGCATTGCAGTCCACTCAAGTTCAGGGCTTTGGCACAGCCAAGTCCTTTCTTATAAAACTGAATGAATTTATAATTAGTCAGACATTTAAAGAGCTGAAGTATCAGAGTACTGCAGTAGTACCAGGCGTTTCAGAACCTGAACATTTCCATATCTCCTTAATTAAACCCCAGCTCATAACCTAAATTGTGATGATGTTGTGGACGTCCAGAGCTTCTTCTCCGCTAGAGCTCAATGACCAGCTTTCCTTCATCATCACTGCTGCTTGTGTCTGTCTCCTCCAGGGTGACCTGCACAACTCTGGTAGGGGTCTCAGTTTCATGAAGGTCCTCAGATCTGACAGAAAGGTTGTCCTCGCACAAAGAGCATCTGGCTATGTTGCTATTTGAATGTAAGTGCCCTACATCTCCAACCAAGCATGAATGTCCTGCTGCTTTCAAGCTTAGTTTAGAATGAAGTGGATCTTCATTTGAATTGATTTGACGGACATCTTTGACCTCCGCTGCGCTAGCCTGAATTGACTGGAAAAAGCACAGGCTGTTCTTGGAAGAGATGCCTTCACCTTCATTCACAGACGGATGTTTTCTAGATGCCATATTCCAGTTTGTTTGTCTTCCTGCTGAAAATGTGCCATCATATGTTTTTTCCAAAGGCACGAGGCTCCTTTCCTGAACTAGAAGTGGAGGAATCCTCTTGATGCCATCTCTCACTCCCTGTGTAAATCCCTCACTACTTGAGAAGATCGTGCTTAGGGAGAGGGTGCAGGTCTTTTGGACACAGGTAGATGGAGGTTGAGAGTAGGAGTCTAGAAAGGAGCTGCCCCCTACTTCCTGCCCTGAAGTAGGACAGGACCTTGCTTCCTGGCTCAGACTCACTTGAACCCTCTCTTTATATTGGGTAGTTTGGGCCGGAGGCTGAATGGTATGTAGGGTTAAAAGATCTGAGATCTTTTTTGAGGTCTTTGCATTCTCTTTTATTTTCTTCAAAACATCTTTATCCTGTTAAGGAGAAAAAAATGCAATGTTAGATAAGTTGTTCTGCCATCTCATGTCATAGGCAAAGCTCTTTTCTGGAATAATTTTAGTTTGTTTTATTATTACTTCACTGAGATGCGAGAGAATGTAGTTTGAATACTTCTGTTGTTTGCAAACAGTAGAGAGCTGACACTGTAATTGATATTTTTAAAAATGTATTCCATGAAAATGAATGCATATTTATTTGCTGGCTAACTTCATCCAGTCCTGGAATATCACCATCCAGCAGATCTTTAGGTCAGTTACAGTCAGCTATTACTAATAACTCAGAACAGATGTGAGTTTTTGATCAATTTAGCACATAATGAAGTTACAATCCAGTCCAAAATATTATCCGCTGCAGGATAGTCTTCATTCTAATGTAATTATGTGTTACTTAATTGAAAAAATTAAAATAGCCAAAATTGTTTAACACTATTGGAAATGCTTCAGGATAAGCTACAGAGCCAGCTGGTATGTGGTCCAGGAGTACCACTGCTATCCAGAAACAGGGTTTTTAAAATGTGAATAAATCTGTTTTTGAGTAATACATTTTTCAATACCAGAATTTAAAGACTGCAAAAATTACATTTCTTATTTTTCAGCAATGATACGTTCTATTAGTACTTGTCTGATGCAGGAAGGTGAATGACTGGCTATGTGAAAGTTTGAAAGAAGGCATTCAAAACATTTCCTTTGATTCAGTGTTTTTCATGCAACACTGTACCTGTGAACAGCGTAACACGGACATCTTATTTTCACATATCATGTAAAGTATTTACCAACTCAGACTAGGAAACTCTTCTCAGAAACCAGCTATCAAGGAACGATAACAATCAAGTCTGCATTGCGAAAGATCAATTGTAATTTCGGTTATTTTGTTGTGATTCTTTCCATAGAAGAAAAACTCCAGTAACCTCTCAGGAATATGTCATATTCTTTACGGCTCCACAGCTCTACTGCCAAATAATGAGCTGCTCTGTCAAGCCAGCCCTTGTAAAAACCAAGATGCTTTTGAGTAGCTTGCCAGACATACTTCTGGTGGCTCCTGATTAAAGTATCTGAACCTGTCTCATAAAAAGAGATGGCAAGTCTGGGTATAGGCAGAGATCCCAGGATGAAAAGCCAGCATGTGATTTTATTGAGAAGCCCATTCCACTCAATTTTCTTCTGATCTTATAGTTTGAGCAGCTTATATTTCTGTAAATGGGGCCTACATTTCCTTCAAGGCAGGACCTCAGTATGGATCTGGTTTGTTGGTATTAATATAACTACTACCTGCATTACAGATTAGGAACTTGACATCTAAACAATAAATCCACAGTCTGCTTATCCATCCATTTTCTAAGCGCTTAATAATACAGGGTCATGGGGAGTCAGAGCCTATCCCGGCAAGCAACAGGAGCAAGACAGGATTAAGCCTGGATAGCAGTTCATCTGCCTGTTTCACTTTAAACTCTGCATTTTCAGAGTCATTCAGGAAGTGAGCAACTGAAACATAAAGAATTATTTTTAGTCTTATTCCCACCTGTCCTCCCCAGAACACAGTAGTCACATTATTTCTTTGGCAAAGGAAAAACCTGTACCAGCAGGTGTATAGTCAGTGTGCCTCTAGTCACACAAAGTGTGAGAAAGTCATACCTAATGAATATCTAGGTATCTGGCAGATAATGCCTTATCTTTCTCATGTTAATAAATTGAAAACTAATGTCAAGTCTAGACTTGGTTTACCTTAATATAGGTCTTGTTATACATGTTCTTCCATGAATATACTAGTACTCGGCACCATGGACTATGGTGAATCTATTTACAAAATGGCCTGTAAAACTGTTGCTAGGAAACTAAGTTTCTAAATACAGTTTTGGCCTAAGATTTATCACTGGCTCTCTATATATTGTACTCATCATTTTTAACTTTATTCTTTGATTGATTGGCACTCTCTTTACACTAATCAAATGCTTTACTAGTTTAAATCAATTAACAGGCCTTTAATAGGAAAAACACCATCTATCTTGATAGTTGCTGTTTTCTGATCCCTCTCTCAATTTAAGATGCACTACTACTGTTGAACTGATCCTCCAGCTTTTGATTAGGCTCATTTTAATTTAGTGTTGCAAAGGCCAAATCAATCTGCAGTGTGAACTGAGGGTGTCCATGTTTGTCTCTGAAGGTGTTTTCAGTTGTAAAATGAAATCAGCCAGGTGCTTGTTCACACTGCCATGTGCTGTATGGGGTTTACTCTTTACGCATTGTAAATTGTGTTGTATTTTCAACTGACTCATCTGGTTAGAATAAATGATCATCGTGCTTGTAGTAACCAGGAGTCTTGGTCGGCCTGAAAAATCTTCTGATATGACTTCAGATCTTTAGAGTTGCCTGTTGTTAGTCTGACCAGTCTTGCATGGGAGACACTTACTTTGGTGTTTTGCCCCTTTAGTGCTTGTAAATCCGAGAAGCTGCTGCTGCTGCACTCTGAGTGTGCCGTGGGGCCGCTGCTATCTCTATTCCTCAGTGCTTGGAAAGTGGAAGTCTTTTGTTTCTCACCTGCGGAGATAAATCCCAGCTAGATTATTTGTAGAAAGTGAAAGGCATCTTTCTGTGCCACATTCGTTCATTTACTTATTTATTGATGTGGGTTTTTTTTTTTTGCATTCTCTTAAAAAAAACAATCTGGCCTTTGCATTATTTGCAAATAATATCCTCACATTTAGATAGCTCTTTTCTGGACCCTCCACTCAAAGTGCTTTCCAGCTAATGGGGATCCCCTCCACCACCTCCAATGTACAGCATTCACCTTGATGATGTCCTTTCCCCTTGTGTTCTGGTATTTCTGTTAAGATTTAAACAATTCCAAACCAACATATTCTAAAGCATGACAATATAGACTACTGCCGAACAACTTGACTTGCGTTTTCACATTGAATAACCTCCAAGATGAGCAGGATGGAAACATGCAGTACAAATTATACTGGCTATTGGTTTTGAAACTTTGGTTTTGAAACTGCTTTTTGTGTGCTTAAACTACAAATTCTAACCTTTATTTTCTTTTTCTTTTATTTTAGTCCTTTTCAGCTTTCTTCACACTTGCACAGGGACTACAAAGTCTAGCTTATAGCCTAAACCAGATTTTATGACATGTCATAAATTTTGTGCTGCTCCTGCTCAAGTGAATGATCAGATTATAAAACAACACCTGGGTTAGATTTTAAAGTGAACAAGGTTCATGAGAGTTCAGAGCACCGGTATAGCAGAGCTCCCTGAATCAAAATAAAATCTGTGCAACACAAAGTCGATTAAAATGGCATTTAAAAATTTAAACTGGTCACATATGATTTTCAAATGTGAGTGTAAGGAAAAGACTGCATTTAGCTGAAAGCATGTTATTGACCAGGCTTTGTAATTCTGTTGCCTAACATTTCTAATACCTAGAGATATTAATCCCTACTTTACTTTTCATCAAAAGGGAGAAAAATAGGATTTCTCAAGAGCCACTAGAACTTGCTAAAGAAAACATGTGGTTGAATTAAAGTAATTACAGCTGTCAAATGATGGATATGTTAATGCAGTCAAGTGTCAGATAGCATAGTTCCCACTAGCTCTTGGCCTGAAGCACAGTAACAAGGAGAAAAAAAGGCAGTGAGTGATTTCCCAGAGGCAGACTTAGTTCCTCTGCCAGCTCATATACCTTATCTCACCTAACAATTATTTTGTGAGCTCCTCCAGCAAAATAACTCCGATGTCATTATGTTGCTGTGCTTAAAACAAAGATTTTAAAAAAATCACCTCAAACTGTAAATTTTTCAAGGGCATTAATATTACTTCACTACAGTTGCTGAGGTTTGAGAGTAATGTCCTACAAATATGATCAATACTTTGAATTTAAATACACTTTGCAGCTCTGTATTGACAAATACTAATTTGTCAATAGCAGGTAATAGCAGGCCCTGTGCTTTCTGGATCAGAGCACACTTTTGGAGAGCAGCATTACCAACTCGTACCCTGAACTCGGAAACTAAGCAAATCCAGGTTTTAGTGGACCACTAGGTGGCACTATATTCTATAGAACACAATTTCAAAAACAAAGACTCAGGTGGGTGACAATAGACACTCTCCTGTAGCAGGCACCATCCTTAGGAATAGAGGTTAAACAGTGATCCTGTCCAAGACAGACAACCTGATGATTAAAATTCCACTGCACATTTTATAGCAGTAGGGGTGTTAACCCCAGTGTTCAGGCAGAATTTCACTTTGGGCTTGTTCAGATTGACCAGCCTATATTTCCCCAATTATTCAATCAGTGAGGTCTTTTCTCTTGCTACCTGATCTCATGTATAGTCTTAATGACTGCCATGCATCACCCAGTGGGGTGCACATCAGTGGTGGGTGTATACTGTATGAAATGTTTGGGATGAAAAGTCTAATACAGCTGCAAGGAATTGCTATTAAGCATCATTATAGATGTTTAATGGTCCATTCAAAACACTAGGCTTTTCTTTACTCCTGATGTCCCAGTTTATGTGTGCTTTTTGTTCTGTGCTCATCACAGAAGTTACTAATCATCTATCACACAGGATTAACTGCAAAAACCGTCTCCTCCTAATTTCATTAAGCATGATTCATTTCCAATTATCTTCATATTCTAACCATTGATAAATTTGGTTTTATTTCCTGCTTGAGTCAAACTTCTGCTTTAACCCCTGCATTGTCACCAGCAACGAGCAAGTGAATCTTTTGAAGAACAACAACAACATAAAAAATCCTGGTTTTTATGGTAAAGATTTATTTCAGCATGAAATTATATTACATGACCTGTTGCATCGTGTCAGGATTACACACACCCATGAATATCCAAGCAATTCAACCAAAATAAAGTCATGCCAAGTATTGTGATTCTTAGGATAAAAACTTAAACAAGCTCTTTCAAATATGCCTCTGTTGGAATAAATAAACTATTTATTAAATAATAAAATAATAAAATGTAATAATAAAAAACATGCTCTGAAATTAATAAGCTGTAAAATAATAAGTTGCCATAAGTGCTACGTGTCATTATTTTAGGACAAAGTCAAATAGGAATTCCAAACACTCTTTAGTTAGTTGTTACAGTGATCAGCAGGGCAAACTGTACCCCCGACCTGGTTTGTATCCCCTTTTCTATCACTGCGAAGCATGTTTATTAAATCAAACCTGAGTGATTAAAGCCTGTGTAATCCATTTCCCAATAGCCTAGAGTATTAGAAATGAATCAGATAGCCAAAACTGATTGTAGTAATTAACAGATGTTAACAATTTTCATCCATCATGTCAGAGGTAGGATTTCCATCTATCCCCCAATGTTTTCATCTCCTTCATCTTTCGCTTAAATAGTACATCAGCAAAAAAGAGCACTGCACATGCAATCTGATCTCTCTGATAAAAGCATCTCATTTCAGATAAAACAGCACAGTTTTTTGACAGTCTGTGAAAGATAATGAGCTTATAGTGTCTAAATACAAAAACATACAAAAAAATAATTACGTTTAGCAACTGAAAAGGCAAAAACCTCTATTTTCTGTTAAGTCTGAGATGATACGTTTTATACATGCTACCACTATGTACTTAATATATAACATCGTTTTATAAATACCTGTAGTGAAACGAATGCAGTATTTCCTCGCTTAAGTGTGTATTAAGAAGGATTCTGGATTTTGAAATTGAAATATAATGCTGTATATCAATTGACATTTTCATGGTAATCAAATAAACTCCACACCAGAGCTTTCGGATGTGTGGTTTCTGTTTGTATGTGAAGGTGCTTAAGTGAATATAATGTGTATAGTTTCCAACAGTGCTGTCCCAAAACATTCTGAAAATAAAACCCTGTCATTTCAAACTGAAAGACTCCAACTTTGTTGCTTCAAGGGCTCCAAATCTTTTGTATTAATTGTTTCAAAGCAGTGTCTGTCTTTTCTTTCACCTTATTTGAAGGTTCGCTTGTCCAGTTCTTAAGCTCTGGTGTCTGTGCCTAAACCCCGTATGAGCACTTGTTTATGAAGAAACAAGTCAATCCCAATTCAGTCAGCTCTGCTCAGTTCCCAGGACACATTTCTTTGAAAATGATGCCTCACAGTCTTTTTGTAAATAATCGGCACTTTCAAGGGTGTTTTGATCTTTCCTTATCCATGGTGATCCCTTTATCTTGATGTAACCTTTGACTTCTGTCAGATTTGTTGCTCTGACTTATGGCTGTGGCCTTTAGCCTGCAGTCAGTCCTCCCTCTATGAGCTACACTCCAGACACACTTTAACTGTGCGGTGAACTGCGGCATGCCAGACCCATTCCTGCTTCGATTTACACCTGCTACAGTTACCAGATCACTTCTCAGCACCGTTATTGTTTCAAAGACCTTACTGCCCAAGACTATCCCGGACAGTTGAGACTGTGTGATGTTCAGTGCCTTCTTTCTCTTCAGCTACATTTACAGGGTTATTTGACTTCGGAACAAATATCTGTCTTCCTTCTCAGAAATCAATTTCTATAATATAAATCCAAGTCTAAGAGCAGTACGGTTTAGGAAAACATAAATCAATATGCATTTTTCAGTGAAATATACAGGCAGTTAAATAAGGTGGAACAAACAGGTCAGATCGAATACTGGGTTGTTAATGAGTTAGTTCTTGAGATAATCACAAGAAATTGAAATAAAATGCCTAAACCGCTTGCAAGCCGATAAAATGACTAGATAAATATGATTTAGGTATGGTGAAAGTAACAACATGTGGGCATGGTAATGAGCTAGTTGTGTAAAAGAACAAAACTCACGCAATCACCATGTAACCGGACTCTCAAGTGACAGAGAAAGAATTTACATGGTTACACATCGCCTCCTTGTGGACATAAAGCATCAGTACACCACTGTTATGGAACGGGTGAAACCTGATGCAAAATGTATAACCATTGTTATTTCTCCCATTATCTATATGTGTTGTCATGTTTCAGACTTTCAGTTTTCTTAGTTCTGTTACATTCGTCTGTTTCAAGACCACTTATTAGTGTTTTTGGCTTGGTCTTTCTTGGCAAACAAAAATAAATAAAAAAGAAACTAAAGTTTAACTGTTTCAAGATGCTCTCTTAAGGTCAGAAGGAAGGTCAGCTTTGAAAGGTTAACTATTTGTTTTGCAACATTCAGTGACCGACAGTCTGCTGTGTATGAAATCCGTGCAGCTACATTATAAAAATCACAACAAAAAAATCTTAAATTAATTTAAAAAATGCAAATAAGAAATATATCTTGATTTGGGTTAAGCTTAGAATTCTGCTTCGTCTTCTACTTTGCAAAAACAGCCTATGTGATAACCGATCAACAAATTTCATTCTAGATTTTATTGTCATACCTGATGTTACATGTTGGTGGACATCTTGAACTGAATCACAGGGCCATCCTTCATCTTCTGATCTGCCTTCTACACTACAGTGAGGAAGATTAGGATTGGCATCAGGTGCTGTCTCTTCTTGTTTCGTGGCTATCTTCAAAATCCTTTCTGCACAAACACCTTCTGACACAGCACAGGATGACAGTTCCTGCTGATGGCATTGGATTGACGCAGGATTTTCCTCATGTTTCTCACACGCACCCTCTGTATCATTCTTCTGATCAGACATACATGAGAGTTGTACTGAGTGACAACTGGTTTCTCCGCTGTGTTGTATAGCAGCTGTGTCACTGTCAGAATACTTTGAAGCCATCTTTCCATGGCTGTCTGATTGCGAATTTGTGAAAGTTATATTCCCACTGCTCGCTGGAAGGATTTGAGCAGGCATCTCCCTTTCCATGCCACCTGTACAGCTATGTGTGCTTGCAAATGGGGCCAGCTGTTTGTACTGTGGCACAGCAATAGCATCCCTTTCATTTATTTGGCTTTGCTGTGCTGTGGAGACAGTATACAGAATCTGATGGAATCCCTTGCATGCCTCATTTTGATCGGCAACTTTGCCTAAATGACTTTCATGGTTGGTTTCCAGCCTTCCCAAATTAGCTGGGAGTCTCTTATTTAATAGTTTGTGTTGGCTCAGGACATCTAGTACAACATTTCCTGCATTGATTTGTAATGGTTGTGAATGAGATGGGGGAATAACAGTGAGTTTTTCTTGGCCTGGAAGCTTTTCTGAAATCAATTCTGTTTGGATACCTCTAGGATCTGTGAAAGAACCCTGCAAAAGTTTGTGAACAGTGTTGAGTTTATCACAAAAGTCCTGAGCTTTGTTGTTAAGATTACTTGTGTCCCTCAGAAGCCCTGCCACAGATATTTGCTGTCCAAAATGTTTCTGTACAGTGTTCTCCTTTGGAGATATTTTGAAACTTTTCTGGGAGCTTAGGTCTGTTTTTTCTGAAAGAATGGTCACCTTGCTGGCTACCTCAGATGTGGCTGTGAAAAGAGAGGCATACTTCAATGATAAAGGTTTATTCTGGCTCACCTTCTGTGTACTTGAGATTTTTCCTGTGTCTTGATTGCTCATGGACAGAGATGCATATTGTTCTAATGCCTTTACCTGAAACTGACTCAGTTCTTCAGATGTCAAACTTTGTGAGACATTTGACATTTTATCTTCTGAGCTATTACTGATTTGTACTGCTGTAGATGAGCTGGCTGGGATTTCTCTTCTACATTTCTGAAACTCTGCAGTGGGCAACTCTGGTTTACGAAGATCGCTTTGATGACAAACATCATTTGATGTGGAAGTGACTTTCCGGATTTGGGATTCTTCTGCTGGGTGGGAAATATGCTGTAAAGGAGGATCTTCTTGAGTTGGGAAGTTTTGTCTGACCCTTTCAAATGATGTTTGCTTTGCTTCCTGGAAAGATCTGCAATAACGGGGACTGTAATAATGATGTAACCCAGCTTTAGTGTTGAGATTGTTCTTCAAAATCAACGAAACGTCACTCAAATCTTGCACATGCTTCTGTCTAATCACCACCTCAGTTGAAAAACTCAGTGTGTGCGTGTCAGCTCTGCCTGTGCATGGAAGATTTTTGTTAGAATCTCTCACATCACTGACTTCAGAAGTTTGTCTTTCACTTTTCAAGAACGGTAGATGGTGAGTTTTTGTTGTTTCTTGTTGGTAACCAACCATTTTACTGTCTTTGGTGGTCAGATTATCTGTCATTGTGGTAGGAGCTGGTTTCTGTGGGAGGAAATGAGAAACTCTCTTTGATTCAGATGTTATTCTCCTGACCCCCTGATCCTCCTCACAGTGTGAGGATGACAGACTCTGAATCGGGAGAGAATTTTGAAGTCCAACCAGTGAGGGTTTCTCCATGTTCTCCCCTGTTTTGGTGTCATTGGACAGCTGGAGAGATTTGTTGAGCATAAATGTTCTTTGTGAAGAACTGGCTTTGCTGTTCTCGGTAGATGAAGAAATGTTTTCTATTTCTTTAATTGGTGGAAATTTTTCACTCTGCATGAGACCTTGTTCTTTTTTGCCAGAAATGTCATCTGGGAGATTAAGTTCCCATTGCATTGAGGGCCTGATATATTTACTTTGGCTTGACTTCTTTACCAAAACAATTTCATCATGATCATTTCCTTGAGGTGGACTGAGGAAATTGCTGTGCACTGGGGAAGGTGATCTCTGGAATTCTTTGACACTGTCTGTTTCAGCTTTAATTGGCAAAGTCTGGCGTATCAATGAAATTGATTTTAAATGTGTGTTTACCCCTCCTGAGCTGGATTTATCTTTCTGCTCCTCAAATTGACCTCTTCTTGAGGAATGTGATTGATAATGAGAGGAATTGAAGCAATCTTTAGACTGCTGCCAAAGAGTTTCTGTGGAAGACAGGTCCTGGTCATTCTTCATTATTTTCATTATGTTGCTTTCTTCCATAAGATCAACAGAGAATTCAATATTATTACTATTAATCTGAACCAGCTGCTTCTGAATAATATTTTCCTGTGACACACATTGTACAGGGCTTATCGTGTCTGGTTCTGGAGAAACCTGCCCAGGAATCACCTGTGCCCAATCAGAGGACACTGGATTTGATCCAGTGGCAGTGACACAAGCATCAGAGGAATGAGCTATTTCAACAGGTGTTCCTGTATCAAAGATGTTTTCTTTCATGGTTTTCATACTCTCTGCCGCTTTTGATGGATTGTTGTCCTGTATTGCAACTTCAAAAATACAGTGCTCTTTTCCACAAGCATCACTCAACATGTCGTTCAATGACGATTGTTCTTCTGAATCTGAAAGGTGAGAGTGGCTGCTGGTATCTTTCCTAAGTAGGTTGCTTTTAGGACCTATTCGGGTTGTAGTGTTTTCAGCATTGAGTGTCTGTTCGGCCACCTGAGGGGAACAGGAAGATGTCCCATGGCCTGCACTGTGTGGGAGTTTCAGCTGGTACTTCGGCAGGAAGCTGGGCTTAGATGAGGAGTAGACAGGTATCCCTTTGCCAACAGAAACAGATGTTCCAGGCACTTTGTCTTGGGACTCAGATAAATCGGGTTTCTTGTACTGAATTGGACTTTGACAAAATTGCATGTTGATGAATCTCAGGTTAAAATTCATCCTGTTCTCTTGACGCACTGTGTCTGTCTGTGCATTACAGATTCTGCTTAAGGGTGGCTGGGCTTGATCTGGCACGGTGTTATTCCTCTTTTCTTTCTTACTGATCAAATTCTTCTGACTTAAAGTACTCTGTGCCTTATCCACTGGTTCCTCACAATCAGCTGTGGGACAGCCAAGTTTGCACGAGCTTTCATCTGTCTTCTGTTTCTTGCTCTCTGATGGAAGGTGACCCAAACACATTGATGAAGTATTTTCTGCCTCTTTAAGTGAAGAGAACTCTTTAGTAGACCATGTCCCACTGGAATTTGAAGAATCTGAACCCAGGATGGTATTTTGCCGTATTACAAATTGGTGTGATGAGTCAGAAACCCCTTTGCGCACTGGTTTCTGTGAAACTGAAGAGGAACCCTGGGTGCTGGATTCTTTTGTACAGGAAACAATGCCACGAGCAGGTAGGCTGGCAGCAAGGCAGGATGGCCGATACATGTTATGAGTTATGTCTGCATTTGTTGCCATTTTCAGATCTGGAGTAGAAATACTTTGTGCTCTAAGAACTGGAGTAGCTGGACTCACAGTGATGCCACGGGGCTCCTCTGGTCCTTTTCTTCTCTCCATGTTTGGTGCATTTTTTCTTGTCCTGCAGATGCCACCAGCTATCTTGGTATTCCGGTCAGAGCCTTTCTCCATTTCATAGAGTTTTCTGAATGTTCCATCCCCATACATATACCATTTATTGTAGGAGAACTTCTGGGCCTTTTTCCTGCGACACTTTCCACTGCTCTGCTCATTTGTGATATCAGTGGAGTCTCCTTCAGAGCTCAGGGTGCTCTGACAACGTTCCTCCACAGAGGCAGAATGACAGGGGCCTTCAGCTCCTGACAAGCAATCAACAGCCACCTGCCTCACAAGAGACCTGTGATTTGAGGATTGCAGATCCACAGACCTTGCAGCAGACTCTCCAGTGTACAAGTGACTGTCCCGCCGACTGGAAAAAGTAGTCTCTCTGTGATATAGGCTTTGTGAAGTAGTCCTTTCCCAACCCAAACAGCTCTCACTGAAAGGTAAGGAACTGCTTCGAGTCACTGGCGTATGATCAAAACTTGTTGAGTGTTGAGTGGGCACTGAATTGTACACTGCTTGCTTAGGTTTGTTGTCTGTGTTATGCCAACTTGCACTAGTGTTTGCCTTCTTGCTTGCTTTCATGTCAAAGTGGAACGAGTCTTTGTAAGTGTAGGGCATTGGAAGGTCAATGCTGCCTTGCTTGGACAGCACTGTCTTCCTGGGTCTCACATTTTCCAGGCACTTGTCATCTACCAAGGCGTCATTGTCAGAAATTAGTTTGGAGATACGCTCTTCCAGTTTCTTCTTCTCAAGCACGAGTGTCCTCTGATTGGGCACACTCGAAGTCATAACAGTTTCAGCTGTGCAATTCATTATAGGAAGTGTTGCTCTTTCAGCTTGGTGCTCCATGGTTGTTTCTGGTAGAGACTCCATACTGTGCTCCCGCAGGCTGTTACTGGGACTGGAGACCCATGACTGCTGTTCACCACTGTCCGAATGGGACAGGTACCCAGAGTCAGTGCTGTCATGGCTCTGGGACTTCCCACTACAGGCTCTGGAGTCCCACTTCTTTGAAAAGTAAGTGGCTTCCTGCCGTTGAAGAGGAAGGTGTCGATTTGGAGCATGTGGAGAAGTTCTCTCAACCTCCTCACTTTTCTGTAGATTAGTAATGGTGCCGTGCTCGGCTCCAGATGACAGCTCCCTTTTCTGAGTTATGGAGCACAGCTTCTCTTGGTTTCCATTCACAGGTGCAAGTATGAGGCCTACCAAAGCAGCCTGATGCAAAGCCCACCCAGTATCTGTTGTTGCTTTTCCCTGCTCAGCCGGATCTTTAGCTGAGCTATGGGCAATGAGCTCTGCTGGACATGTAGCAGATTCCTTCTCAAAGCTTCCTGATTCTTCACTTTGTGGTCCTTCCAAGCTCCCTAGAGAGTGGCTTTCTGGGCATGTTTCTGTGGACCCCTGGGAGCCCTCCTGGCTGCTGCTTCCCCCCTTCTCTGACTCTGAGGACAAGCGGGCATGTGCTTGAGTACGCCTGTGCTTGTAGAGGTTACTCTGAGTTTTGAAGGCAATACCACAGGTGGTGCAGGGGTAGGGTCTCTCACCAGTGTGGCAGCGCAGGTGTTTCTCCAAAACGCTGGGCTTCAAGCAGTCACGGCCACAGTGCTCACACACATGTTTGCCAGCAGACCTGGGCTTCCCTGCCACTGTACCGGCTAACCTCTGGCCCTGCTGCAGCATGGGCATCCCATTGACAATGCTGAGTGTAAGCGTGGGCAGGCTCTGTTTGGGATCAACTGATCCCCTGCTCTCATGCAGCTGAGGAACAGATAGGTGGATGGTCACAGAGTCCTGGCTGGGCAGGGGTTGTAGCTGTGGATACATGGGCAGGCCCAGTGTGTTCAGATACACTGTGGGCATAGGTGGCTGCATACTGTGCATCCTGTCTTCTCCCCATACTGTTACTGAGCTACTTGTGGGCTGAACTAGTTGCTTGCTAGGAGCTGGAGCACTTAAACATCCCTGCTTGCTGGTCTCCATGGTAACCAGTTTCTCGTGATGTTGATAGACCAGTGCACTTGCAATTACCTGCAAAAGAAACAGTTTTTTTTATCAGCCGTCTGCTAACCAGTCACTCACAGACAGAATTTATTTCAGTGAGTTTCAGGATTATCAAGTACAGTCCCCCTTTAGGCAGCTGCTACTTATTTGGACATATTTTCATTTTTGTCAAAGTCAAGACCTTCAATGAGAGATAACATTCTCATAAGCATATTGACAAGGAGCATGAGAAATGCACTAAGGAAAAAAGAGAAAGCTTAGAAAATTTAGATATTTTAAATTTAAATTATTTGACCATTTTAAATTCACATATTTTTGTATGGTTTAATAATTCAATGTATTAAAAAAGGCCTATTAGCTTCTGGGATGACATAAAATAAAGGACAAATATTTTTTTTCCAGGGAATACTGAATTAGCCACTGGATGTAAATCACGTGTTTAAGACAAATATAATAAGTATATATTAATGGTATACTGTACAGTTTTAAAGTGGTAAACAAAATTGACAGATATGTGTAGGTGTGTGCATCAAATGTAATGCAAAATATGACAGGAGATTAATTGAGTTAAAAAGACTTTCAAAAACACTTGCAATAAAAACTCCCTCACCATGGCAGAGGTATATCTGCATAACAAACTCGGTGCATGATTGCTATGGTGCACATTTGCATGCAAAGCTAGCAATGGCATATTATCTCCTCCTCACACACTCAGAAGTGCAGTTAGAATGAACTCTAGAGAGAGTGACTCACCAGTGATATGACATGTACATAGGATGAAGCTAACAGGCATTTTACAAATTCTGTAGGATGTGCAGGTCTTTAAAGGGCAGATTTCTAGTTACTCTAAGGTAAAATCAATTTGACATCCAGTTATTCTGTGGTAAATTCCTTTCCAGTTGTTATTATTTGCAATTGCTTTAACAAGTTTGAGAAACCCATTACTATATTTCAGTATATATTACTATCTGTCAGTGACTGTTACTATTGATGAGGTCAAGGATACATGTTTGTAGTATGTAGGGGTGTCTTAATAATCGGTGTAACAGCAGTAAAGGAGGACCTTAGTATAAGAAGGGCAAAACAATCCATTGTAGGTCAATTGATGATAGCAATATTCCTTAGATATAAAAAACAAACAGTTAAATTATATAAATTGTTACAAACCATGCACTGCATTTAAAACTGTAGCTGTATAAATATTCTCATAACCAAAATGTATTCATATTCAATTTACTATCCTGAAATAGATGTTTTGTATGAGCACATAAAGAAAATGCAATACTAATTTAATAAGTGAGTTGTTATGTCACCATTAAATTTTATGTATGTGTCTGTTACAATTAAAATATGAAATCAGGGAAAGTTAAAAAATAAATATTATATATATATATTGTATTGTATTTAAATTTAGATGTTTCTTGAAATTCCTTGTTCTCTATTCTTACAGTAACATGCATAAGTGTACATATGCACAGTGCCTTTTAAAGGTAATCAGACCTTGAAACAACAAAATGATGCATATGCCTTTTTAAACTCAATATTTTATTAAAAACCTAAATACTTAAATGGAAAGCTTCTAAGAGTAAATGTTGGCACAAACTAAAGAAAAAAATTAAATATAGCATGTTGATTGCAAAAGTACTCAGACCTGTGAAACTTTGTGGAAGCAGTTTTTGCGAGAATAACAACTGCACATTTCTGGGTAAATCATTTCCTAATTTGCACACCAGCCTGGTGCAATTTTACCCAATCTTTTTGGCAGATTTGCTCAAGCTCCTTCAAGATGCTTGGAGATCCCTTATGAATTGATGTTTTTTAGACTTTCTATAGATTTTGAAAAGGATTCTGGTCAGGATTTTGACTAGGACAGTTACTTTCTTATTCTTAAACTTCTCCAACATGGGCCTGGCCTTATAGTTTGGATTACTGATATACTGTAAGGTGAATTTTTGTCCCAGTTTTAGGTCAGAAGCCGGCTTCTCACTTATTTATGCCAATATTTTGCTCCATCTATGGCCCCATTAGTCTTGACAAACATCACGCTCCCTGGTGATGAGAATCAAGACTGTAACATGATTCTTCCACCGTCCTGCATGACAGTAGGGATGGTGCTGACTGAGTGATGCATGACTTTGGTTATGTGTCAGATGTAACACTTTGCATTTAGGCCATGAAGTTCCACTTTTCTCCTGTCTGACAACTAAAACTTTTAGTTGAAACATGTCTGCAATATCATCTTGGTGTTTTGTCGCACCCTCATCTGGGATTTAAACAAAAATATTTTTGGGGGTTCCGTACAAGTCCCCATATATTCCTGAAATGGAAATTGTCTCTCTTCTCAGTAACTGCACTCTTTTAAAGCCACCACTGGCCTCATGGTGGAATCCCTTACCTGTTCCCACGCCCAGCTGCTCTGTTAAGGGGCAGTTTGAGGCCTGATCTGTATGTGTAAACCTCTGCATGTTCACCAGTTTAAAAGAGATATTAAGGGTCTTTGAAATATTTTTATTCCTGCACATTTCTACAGCTATATCCCTCAAAACTTAAAACAGCTTGGTTTTTGTGTCTGAATCTTTGCTTGAAAGTCACTTCCTGACTGAGAGACCTTACAGAGACAGATGTATTCATTCTGAAATCACCCACTCAACTAATTATGTAGCTGATTAAGGTCATTTGGTACATGTAAAATACTTTATATTTCTCACAACAAATGATTTGAATACTTATATAATCATAAAAGTTTTCCATGTTTATTTCATATTATCTACTGTAATTCTTATCTACTTTGTTAGTTTTTTGCTTTTAATTATGTAGTTTAGGTTTTGTAAATAACAGGTATTAATTGCTACTTCAAAGTGTCAGAACGGTGAACATTTTAAGCGACAAAAGTATGTGCAAGGGTCTGAATACTTTTGCGAGGCACTGCAGCCTGAGACCTTGAATGTGTAGCGGGGGATCCAGATCTGGAGCTAGGTTTCATTTTTGTTTTGGGCCGGGTGAAGCCTGAAACCTGAAACATGCTGCAATGGCTCATACAAATAAAGCATTATGTCGCTGGGAGGAAACTGTGAGGCTAGTTTCTCTCCTGACACTAGGAAACACCTAAAAGAGCACAGCCAGTGATGACCTGGCTACCCTGAAATTGTTACAGCTTCTATATAGGTGGTTTAAAACAGACAATTATTACACAACAATATGTTAATATAGCCTAAACCGCAAGGAAGGATATTGGGTAGGATATTTAATATTTTTTCAACTTCACTATAGTCCCTAAGTGTACATTATATGTAACAGACTGCAAATGAGTCATATTAACCTGTGATATAGCACTATTTTAAATAATGTTTAGTAATAATGCAGTGTTTTCAATTAAATATAGTATATTATTTTTACCACTGTATTACATAACAAGCCAGACAGCACTGCTTTCTCCAACCCTAAAAAAAACAAACAGAAAAGGCCAGTCTTGTTTCGTTTAGATCCTTAAATGGAAGCCATTGTAAATAAAAAAAAAAGTTCTGGTTCATTTCAGCTATTGCTGGAGCTACACGATTAAGGTTAGCAGACATGTGAGGACACAGACAGAAGCACAAATATCAGTGTACCGTACCTCCCTAGCTACCAGACACTAGCAGTGGGTTTACCAGTCATTACAAATGTCCAGCCAACTGAGAGAAACTTGGAGTGGAACAGTGGGCATATGGAATGCCTCATTGAGCTTAGTCTTTATGTAATTGTGTCACTGCATTTTTATTTGTACTTAATAGATCAATTATATTGCTCAGGTGTACTGAAAGAGGGAACGGTGGAGCAGTAGTTAGCATTGCTGCCTCTGAGCACCGGGGCCCTGGGTTCAATTACAAACGTGGGGCACTATCTTTGTGCAGTGTGTGGGATGCTCCTGGGTGCTGTGGTTTCCTCTCACAGTCCAAAGACATAATGGTGGGTTAAGTTGCTTCTGGCAAAACTGGCGTGAGTGTGTGTGTGTGTGTCTGTGTTGAGCCCTGTGATGGACTTGCATCCCATCCAGTGTGTATCTTACAGGGTGTGACAGGCCCTGTGCTTGTCATTGCCTGGGACAGGCACTGCTCCCCTGCAACCCTGAACTGGGTAAGGGGATAGAAGGAAGGAATGCAAATTGAATGTCTGAATGAAACATAGCTTTTTGGGGAATTATATTTTTTTCTCCTGGAATTTATCTTTTGTATTTTGAGCCATATTGTTCTTATCAGTGCCTCAACCTACTTGGTAAGTATAGAAAGTGTATTGATTTCATTTCTGTGGCATTACGAAAGAACTTAACAGAGAACAAAGCACAGACCGCTGCCACACAATATACACAGGTCTGCGTCTTGGGTAGAAACACATATCCTCATGAGGATGACAAACTGACAAATATTTTTAGTATTTTACTTTGCCATTTTCTCTCTTTAGGGAAAAATAGATTCAGAGTGATTTGTGACTCTTCACACTTAGTGGTTGCAGTCTGTGGGACTCCCCCAGTGTTGATGAAGATAAATTTTATGCTCTACTAAACTGGGGAAATTGATACCGCTTGATACAGTCAGATATGGCCGTTGATATTTGAGCTTCATCTTCTATCATCGATAATCACAAACACTAAACATCAAAACTGAATTTCACATTCATGTAGAGAGAGATATGAAATAATTAGGGAAAATTCTAAGGAGGATGTGGTGACTTTGACCAGCTTTCGGAATTTTAACTTTCCATAACAGATGCAGATTAAAACTGAGTCATGGAGTTTCACACTAGTTGAAGTGAGCAGTGAAAAAAGATGTATACAGTAAATGTCTGCTGGTACCATGTCTGCCATTGAATTGCAACCTGTGATCTTTTTAGAAGTCGTTATTGACATTCCGAACATTTCAAATAAAAAATTACTCGCATCTTCAATCTATATTTCCTTTAGATTTTTTTTGCTTCTTGTGTAGGAATATCAAACAAAGAGAAAGATTTAGTGCTCTCGGACCTGATATCTATAGTCATGGATGAAAGGTTTCTTACGCTTTGCATTAATGAACAAATATAGTATCAGCTAATAATAATCTGAAGAAATGAACTGTAACATACTGAAAAGTTCAAAATACTAAAATGAAATATAATTATTTTTCCACAGAGATTTGCACATCTATTGCTCATATGTTGAATAAACAAAAGACATTAACAGCTATATAACTTTTAGAGTACTACAATTCAGTGACAATGTGAACAGGTTTACAATAGATAAAAACTGTTAATAAAAACTCAGAAGGAAGGGGCTTTATAGGTTTTGTTCATTAATTTTTGTGCAGAATTTTGTTCTAGTTTTCAGATTAGTCATTATACTTGTTTTGCAAATCCAGAAAATTAAATGTTCAGCAAAATCTTCCTTGACAGCAGTATTTTCTTCTGAAACACATTTCATTTATAAAGAAAGAGGGGAGTTGATGTTCTAATACATTTGTTTTAATCGACATGTTTGACATCCAGGGAAGTCTTTGTTTTCTATTTGTCGCAAACTCTATTCTCTATTCGCCTCTCCTGAAGTGGGAATCAAAAAAAAAAAAGTGGAAATTTTGCCATCGCTGTGCAATCTCATGTTTCTAAAAACATTGAAATAACAAGATAAGGGTCTATTCAAGTCTCGTCAAAACTCTTCCATTGAGCATTCCTGCATAGAAATATACTACACAACTTTGCCGAAATGCCATGTTGATTACAGATTTTACAATCGGTTCTGTCAGTTTTACCCCGGTATTATATAATAACATCAAAGATGTTTTCCTGATGGATTCCAGTGAATCAGACTAGCAAGCAGGCCATGCAATGTTAAACACTCACCCCAGCTCTAGGAGAATTCTGGGCACCCTTGTTAATCTCGTTCCCCTCGCCATCCCTGGTTATCTGAGCTGTCCAGTGACCACCGTGGGGCTGTTGGGATGCAAGCAAAAGCCAATAATTCCATGTGTCTACAGAGACAGAAAGACAGTATCACTCTCTCTGCTGCTCTACTTCTGTTTTGTTTCTTTGTTGTTTCTTTCTTTGTCTTTCTTTTTTTTTCTTTTTAGGGGAACTGTTGCTTGTATGACGAGAAATACCCTGTCACATCCTTTATGCAAATCAGTGTAAAACCAGAGGAGATGCTGTAGAGAGGATGGGAGAGAGAGATGGTGAGAGAGAGAGAGAGGAGGAGTGATGCGTGCAATGCTACTTTCAGACAAAGGCGTTTAGATCAGAAGTTGATATAAAAGAGAGCATTGCTCTGTTGAGAGGGAGAGAAAGAGACAAGGGAAAGAAAAGGGTGCACAAGGAGTGATGAACAGGGAAAGAGGGTTGAGAGGGGGCAGGTGGACTGAGAGAGTGAGAGTAATTTATAAGGCAGAGAAGCAGAACAGAAAGAAACACACTACTGAAAGGGGAAGTAAGCAGGCACACAGTCTTACCTTTAACTGCACATTGCATGCAGCCTTGCAAGCACACTGTGCTGCTGTCTTGTGGCAGTGCTTGACTCTTTGCTCCAGATTGCACACTCGCGCGCGCACACACTCAGAGAACAGGGGTGCATGCGAGCACGTGTGGGCGTGTGCATTAGTGGGGGCGGACTGGTTGCGTTCCTTTTTTTTCTTTCCGTTTCTTCTCAAAAATGTTGCACCTCTAAAAAACCCAGCACTGGGGAGTGGGAGGGAAAGCAGATGAAAGACCGCGATGGTCTTTAACCTGTGGTCTACAGAAACCAGGCTGCACAAGTGTAACGAGCTGTGCCAGCCTCAGATTTTAATTAGGCTCAGTGGGTGGAAGGCCCAGCTGGGTTTTCTGACAGCCTCCCCCCCACCTGCTCCTGACTCGCCTGGTGATCCCTGAGCCCGAGCCCAGACTGGGGGAGGAGTGTGGGCTGATGGGGGCGGCCGCAGCCTGTAGCACACTCTAGGAGCAGATTAGGTGGTGGATGTTTGTGGGGGTGGGGGTGGGGGGTGTTGTAAATGATTCCTTTTTTTTCTGCCATTTCGTTTTATTTTTTCTGCCTCATGCTAGCTACTGCTGTTCTGCGTGGGTGTAGACAAGGGGACATGTTTAGGACTGTACAGAATGTCCCAGAAAAAAAAAAAGAAATCAAACATTACATCAATCTCAACCAATTAATAAATTAGAATAAATAAACAATTATGATCTGACCAAAACATTACCAGAACACAGAGAAGAGTAAGCTGATAAAAGAAGAGGCAGGCTGGAGGAATGGAAAAAATTCAGTATGTTTCATATTTATTGAGGACTTTAAGTACTGGTGATTCAGTTTAGGACATTCAAATGTCTCCATTGCACTGAAAAGCTTTCATTGTCTTGATGTGCATATAGTCAGTGCTCTTATGACGCGAGAAATTATGAAACAATCAGAAATTATTTATCGTTACCTCTTGAACACTGGACAATGTGAGATAAAAGCGATATGTACCAAAATAAAAACACAAGACATTTGATTCAATGTGTGTTACATTAGATTACTTCCCAGAACCAATGTAATGTGTTCTCAATCAGTACTGGGCAGTAGGAGCTGACACTGGATAGAAGGAATTGAGAACTGTGTTGGAAAAGTAATGCCTACTTACAAAATTTTTAAATAAGATCCAGGTTCAGGGACCAGAGCAATAAAAGTATTTGAGAGACGTGCAATCCAGACATCACTGTTTTGAGTCAGGGCTATGTGACAGTGGGTCTTCTGTTGGATAGGTTGAGCTGCTCATGCGTATCTTCAGGCTGCCACAATATTGCCACCTGGAACCTGTCAGACAATAGTGCTACTGTGTTACTGCTGACTGTCGCATCACTCATCCAGTGTTAACTGTTTTGTAAAGCATTGTCTGACACAAACTGTGGAAAATGGGGAGTGACTCAGGCAATTGTGCATTTTGGAGGAGCATGTACAACAGTCCTCATGTCTCTGCTTTATACTGTAGGTCGTAATAGCAAGCCAAGCTGGTTAACATCAGTGAATTTCAGATTGTAGAGGTAGAAAAAAGAAAAAAAATATTTAAATTCCACATGTCAAAAATAAAACAGAAATTTAAAATATAGTATTCCAAAACAGCAGGAGAATGGATGAAGCTAGGTGACATGACCTCGCATCTTCACTAAATTCTCTAAGGCTACATAAGAATTATTAATTTCACCCAGTGTCATGGTGAAAAATAGAAAGATTTTTTTACAAAATGTTCTCGTTTATTAAAGCAAATCAGGGTATGTTCCCTCAATCTGATTTTCTAAGAACTATAAGATTGTGAGGTAAATTGGCTCAAGGGTTCAGTATAAATGCTCTGCGTCTCATACATTTCAGACTAGATCTGGGCAGTTTAATGTGACACCTTATGAAGGGATTTGAAGGATTTCTGAGATTTAAAGTGCTGCAGTCATCTGATTATTTTTTCATTTTATTTTCAGCTTTGTTTCGCAACGATGTTCATGATGTGTTTTATGAGCCTCTATACCAGCTTGTGATATTAAAGACATTAAAAAAGTAAACGACACATCCTTCATGTTTCTGAGGGAGCTATTGAGTAAAACAGAGGATGTCTTAAGAGGAAGGGAGGGAAAAGGAAGTTGTCTTTCTTCCCCCTTCTCTCTTTCATTTCTGTCCCTCCCAATTTCTCTGGTTTCAGCTAATGGCACCACGATAGAAGTCTGTTTTTTCTATGTTCTCTGCCATAAAGGACAGGATATTAGAATTCATTCAGCCTTCACCTCCATCTTATGAACAAGCTTACACAAAACGTCTGCCCTCAGTTCTGAAACTGGCAGTAACTTGGTAATGTCCCCCTTTAATACAGAACAGGCATTGCCCATGTGAGATGGTTGAAATACAGTTAGTTTAAGAATGCCTCTGTTTCATTCCTGTCTCCAGATCTGAAATTCAGTTCAGTATCTTCATTTGGCATCTGCTGCAGTTCCCTGTACAGCCTGAATGGCACAGTTACAAGCACAGCAAAGTCAACATGGTTAAACAATGTATTAAACTAGCAAACGAAATGTAATTCCAAATATAAGTACAATTTGTACTGTTTGCTAAAACATTTCACAAACTGTGAATTTAACTGGCTGCTAATAAAAAACGTTTCAAAACCTCCCCTCAGTTTTATTTACCACTTATCTAATTCAGGGTCACGGTGATCTGGGGGGCTTATTCGAGGAAGCATTGGGAGCAAGGTAGGACACACACACTAGTCTATCACAGGGCACACACAGACACAAATTGTAACGAACAGTTCTTTCCGGACCCTATGTGGACGACACAATCCGAAGAAGTGGGGAAACACTAGGAAAAAGTCCTGCAGGAATACGGGGCTGAAAACGGGGGGTATCCAAAGTGCGCTGGTGCATGGGGGAGGTGTGGCCGAGGCAAACAATCCAAAAGTAATCCATAGAGGGAATCCAAAAAACGCAAGAAAGTCCATTGCCAGGTGATCCATCCGAACAGGAACAGGAACAGGAACAGGAACAGGAACAGGAACAGGAACAGGAACAGAGGTTAAAACCTTAACGGGACCAGGCGCTTCCAGGTCCCGGACTCGCACGGTGCGGAAACCAGATGCAGAGCCAGGCTGAACGTCAGCGCCTGGCTTTTAAGGTGGGCTGGGAAAGGGGTCAGGTGCACAGAATTAAGTCTGAAGTGAAAGGGCTGGAGCCCCCTTAAGGAGGAGGGACTATAATCGTGACACAAATGCTGACATCAGGGGCCAATTTTCATAGATGCCAATTAATCTACCAGCATGTCTGTGGACTGTGGGAAGAAACGGGAGCACCCGGAGGACACCCACACAAAGATGGGGTGAACATGCTGAGCAATTCCACACAGACGGCCCCCCAGGAACAGAATCCAGTGCTGCAGTGCTGTGCGGCAGCAATACTAACGACTGTGCCTCCCCAATGACACTGTGTTTGTCTCAAATTATAATTTGTTTTTGTACACGTTTTTTCTCCTTTTTTTAAACTCTCTTCACTGATAGTGTGCTTGACAAACTAAATGACAACTTTCCATAACTAAGTTGTGATCCAAAGACATATTTCTGAGTAATATATGAATTAGAATTGGGGTACAGTATGTTAATCCTGGCTCCGTTGAAAAGGCGCAGTGAGAACTACCCTGATCGAAAGCTGGGGCTGTAGCAGTGTGGAGATGTACTGTAGGATGCTGGTGTTCAGCCCTTCATGCTTGCTGTGGTGACGGCATCTCTCTCCAGAAGCTGGGCTGCAGCACTTCCAAAAGCACTGGTGCACCTAGAGCAACAGTTAAAAGCACTTCATCCAGAGCAACTTGCCTTTCAAAAGGAAACATTTTGTAACCTTCACGCTTGTATGCCTATTCTGTTTAAGCCCCATTTACAAGTAGAACAATTCTTGCCTATGGATGTTTATAGGAACCTAATTAATCATTCACTAAGAGCAGTTATGTGGGATTCTACTTTGAATTACACAAGCATGGTATTTAACTCTTTGATAGCCCCTGCTACTAGAGTAAGAAAACTTTCATTTTCCAATTCAGTGAATTACAGGACTGCTGCGATGTTGCCATTCACATCTCAGTAATGTGATTATATGTGTGACTGCAATTCGAATTCATTTTAAATGTGTTTACAGTACAATACTGTCTACCACCTTCAAACCCCCTACACATTAAAATATGTTACAGAAAAGACAAACATTATAAATTTTACACTGATAAAATACAATTATACCAGCAGTTTCTTTTTGTAGCAGCAGAAACAAATTATATTGCTGCAGGAGTCAACATTCTGTGAATGTTTGATTACTCAATTTATTTTCAGTCCTTATTTTTTATGATAAGTATGAATTCTAAATGAATGTTAGAAATGTTTCTCCATAAACTTACAGTTTTGCAAAATTAAATAAGAAGTAATATCTAACATACAGTCTTTTGTAATCCATAAGTCAATTTGAAATAAGGTATGCTCACCAGTAGGCAAATTTCATTTCTTGTACACAATACTGATTTTTATCATATGGTAATTATCATTGTCACATACTCACTTCACCTATGGGTCAATACACCACGGATAATGGATAAGTAAATCAACCTCCTGCACAAATAATTCCAACCATTAGTTAACAGTATGAGTAAACTAATAGTTTTAATATTACTTTTACTGATGCACTCCTCAGCATTTTTGTTACCAAGGCAACTGAGGGCTTTTACCCTTTAGCAGTTTAAATGGCAAGGCTTGTGTTGGCATGGCAACTGGAGACTACTCTCCTCACTAGGAATATTCAGCTGAATTTTGGCTGAAGCCTATGGTGAAGTTTCTGCAAATGACTGTGCAAATGGCTCCAGCATTCCAACACACAAAAGGAAGCAGCAATATGCGAGTGCATTACGAGACAAGAGAGCAAGCTGAGCATGAAGGGGCCAGTTCAGTACCGGGAAGCAGGTGTTGAAGAAATACCAGGCTGCTGTTGTATGTGGAGTTGGTGGACTAGTAGGTGGAACTCTTTTCTTCAGAACTAAAAAAAATCAATGGTGACTGGAGAAACTGCTGTAGGAGGTGCAGATGAGAGATAAAATCAAGTTCCTGACTACTTAGTCATTTCAGATAGGTCTCACAGCATTATTTGTAAGATTAGAGGTGTTAACTCTGGCGTCCTGGCTAAATTCATTGCAGAGAACCCACAGGTCTTTGTCACACCCACGGACCTTGCCACAGAATCTAGATTCTCTTAAGCTCTCTCTGACTCCCTGCAAGAGGTAGTAGATATCAGGTTCTTATCATAAACTATTGGCCGTTTTACTAGTTATCATATCTGCTGTGCATCGCCACCATCTTGATTCAGATGCTTGCCTGCCCATGGTGCAACAGCCAGGTGACATCTGTTTCCCAGATTGGTGATGACTCTAGTCTGTATGAAAGTTGACGTGCGGTTATCACAAACCCGGTTCCGTGAAATGGAATGCAATCATCACACGTTTCTCGTCACTTTAGAAAATTGTGAGAAATGTAAAGAGTTTCAGACTTTGGGACATGGAGCCATATGAGTGAAACGTGTCAAGTAATTGGAACGATTTTTAAAATCCTTACATAGTAACCACCATTCAAGTGAGCATACAATTAAAATTGCGCTGGCGCTTTGTGTAAACTAAGATCGCCATCTGAACGGTATTTTGTTCTGCCAGGTCAAACTCCATATGTCTGTGGGAGTTCTGCGCTTGCTGAATTGAAACTCGGCAAACTCCATCAACAAGCCAAGCTGCCTCAAATTTGCACCTCACAAGCTGCAACGATAACATCGACCAGCTGATAACCCAATTTTGAGTGTTTCATTAACACTCAAACCTATTTCAGACGGGCATCTCACGAGTCTCTGTGATAATGCTATTGCCAACCAACACAATCAGCTGTTTGATGAAAACAGCAAACAACGCAAACTGCTTGAAGGTTTCATTCCAATAAGGATTTGGGGATCTAAACAGATAGATTTAGTTTTTAAATGAAACAATAGCCATACCTCTAACCAAAACTGTAACCGTAACACTTCTAAAACTAAAACATACTACAAAGAACACTTCGGCAAGTGTTTTGTTGATCTAAAAATAACGAGTTGTGAATCCTGTTACAACATCTTATGTAGACTCTAAGGAGGTATTACTGAGGCTATTCAAAGCCTTATTCAAAGGGCTTAACCGATAATTCTTTCAAATTCTTTCTAAACTGCTAACATCTATTTCATAGCAACCGTAATTCCGTCGCCAAACCGTAGTATTCACGGCAATAGACCTGGCTTGGAAACCTTCAAGGGTGTGCGCAGTTTTGTACGTATTGATTCTAAAAGTGAAACAGAAGGATGTTTGCAAATTTACTTGAATATTTGTTTGGTGAAATCCACTCTAAACAGATTGACGTGCTATTGTAATCCGGTCCACAAATCCTGTGTAAAAGTACGATAAGGATACACGGTCTACTAATGGGATTATATGTCCTTAACACGTGCACAACCCTTTCCTGAATGTGAGGATGCAAAAATCTTAAAGCACAAACTCCACCCACCCCTAAGCACTGCACATTCAACTGGGGACATACATGATAATATCTTGGTGAATACATCGCCTTTGTCTTTTTTTAACATGTAAAATATTTTATTTTAGGTAATAATAATTATTTGCGGTTAATATACACTTATATTGAGACATATGGCTTATTTTATTACCGCGTTTTGCATTTACCCAAAGAATGACGTATATTCTACCCTCTGAAACAATTGGTACATCTCACATGGAAGTAGAGAAATGGCAGCTTCAGTGAACTTGAAGTGTCACCGGCTCATTCATTTTTGCATTTTTGGGTGGTATATTTTCACCCTGTGGCACAACTGCTCCTTGGAGATATCAAAAAGACACCCAGGAGCAAGGTCTTACGGAGGTCGATGGAAGTACCTGACATTTATAAATCTTGTAAGTTAAGTTGCATAGATAACATACTAGTGACTTTGTAGCACAGTTTATCTTGTTGGATCATTTTAAGAAAGCACGGGTGCATTTACACTTCAATCGTTACTCAGTCACATTGGTGTCAGTGAAGTTTCTGGAAACTTTGTCGCTGTTCAATAACGGCAAACAGCAATACTTTTGCAAACAATATTGGGTGGTAACATTGCGTCATCGTAACTAAAGCGATTCTAAAAGTTTAAAGACACATTGCAATACGTATTTATATAGCTAAATTGTGTGGTATTAAATATTTTAAAAGTGTCGTGTAAGACTTGCACAAATGGATTGTGTAAAAACAAATTGCATTTGTTGTTTGTTAACTTAGAATTTGCTCCCTATAGGGATAGAGGAGTGACGAAAATAATAAACGTGGATGGTGTTGAAAATGGCGTTTTAAACGCATTTATTGTTAGTATTGCGTGTAATGTATGCTTTGCATTGAACTGTAACGAGCAACGCAATCCTGTCCTCGACTCTTTTCTCCTGTAGGTTATGCAAACTGTGTTCTTCGGGCTCTGCTTTGTGATTGACGTGGTCCGTGCGGGTACTTCCTCCTTCGTCACCCGTTTGAGAGACACCGTCTTCACCGTGTTGGTGTTTCCCGTGGGCACGGTGAGCACCAGTGGTCTTTATCGCGTGTCTTCTCGAGCGATTGACAGATAAACTGATAAGCCTCTATGTTTCCACTTTATTTTGCACGTTAAAAAAAAACAGAAACGTTGAAAATGCGTGGGAAATAATGACCCTTCGTCTTCTCACACTCAATAATGAAAAAAAGAAGCATCCATTCTTTTTTCTGTAACTGCTAGCAACAATGCAGATTTGCTGTAAGAAAGTGGGGGTGAGGCAGAATACAGATGTACACACATTCAGAGATGCAGAGATACGAGTTTAAATAGCCAGGAAGTCTTTGGGTTTGGGGAGGAAACTGGAATACTAGAGCAAAACCCCGACATTGCACAATTCCACCCTGGTAACCCAAGAGCTGTGAGGCAGTGTTAACCACCACTGGGCCACACAAAAAAGAACAGCTGTGTGTGTGTGTTTGTGTAAGTTATTCACACCCTTGTGGGTGAATCAGGTTTATTTTCAGTGTTTTCTGTGCTCAGCTATATACAGGTTTATATTCTATACATTTATTTCTGTATTCAAATGTTTCAGATGGCCTTCCCCTTGAGTTCTCTTGTGTGAATGTAACTATTATATTTATTAACAATGCAATATATAACTAAACTCCTCAAAGCCATTTGGTATGTTATGGTAAATGTTGTACATTAAGACATTTCATTGTGTTGTTAGGATAAGACATTGTTAAATTACATGAAGGTCATACATTTCATTACAACATACACATGTATTAAAGTACATAAAGGCACGAAGAATATTCCTTATAGATATTCAGTTAGGGAATTAAAATAACCACCAACTACTGTATGTTTGCTTGACTTTATAGTGTACTTCTCAGGCTGCACTCCTGACATTAAGTAGCTGAACTCTTCTCTTAACTCCATCCTTCACATCTTGTACACCCTGCAGTTTGTTTTCCTGTCCTTCTGGTTGATTTACGCCTACGACCGGGAACTTGTCTACCCAAAATATCTAGACGACATCATCCCTGCCTGGCTCAACCATGCCATGGTGAGTACTGTCCCGTGAAATGCAGATCACACCGATAAACTGTGCCTGTAGCAATGCTGCTTCCTTTGGGAAAACCCCTGTACAGCCCCTGTACAAATTACAAGGTGTCACTGCACTTATCCAGCGAGTGTAGAAGAAAAAAGAAGTCAAATGCAGGAATTTTAAAATGCTGCACTTCAAGAATTTAAAAAAGAATATCTTTCAACATGGTAGTTTCTTTGAAGAACAGGACCTATAAGAAGACAGTTTGTTGTGTATTGGTTCAATGATGACCTCAACGATGAGGTCTAATACCCTTCTTCTTTTACGTTTTATCACTTTGTGCCCACAATCCAGTCACCAGTTAAGAGAGCTTGGAACAGAGGTTTCAGGACTTTCAGTTCATATATTCTAAGCACTGTTTAAGGTACTTAGTGAAGTAATGCTGACTAAAGGCCATCTCGCCCTTCTCTTTACAGCACACTGTGATCCTGCCTCTGCTGCTGGTGCAGCTGTACCTACAACCCCACCGGTATCCCAGCAAGAAGAAGGGCATTTTTGGTTTGGCTTTCTTCTCTGCCATATACCTGGCCTGGTAGTGCTATTGTTCTACACTTAAAAGGCTCAGCATGTTTTGTGTAAAAGTGGAGAAGTGTAGGTTAAAGTGATACTGTAGTATTTGATATTTCCTTAAATTGATATCAGAGTTAATTTAATGCAAACTGTAATACTGTATGTATCATATATATGTATTTTTGTTAATATAATGGATCCATAAAACCACGGTTCTTATGTGATTTGCTTTCTCATTGATAATCACTCCTTGCATGATTTAACTGTTCTTGTTGTAGTTTTTAAAAAGTTAGGTAGTCTAATTATTCAAGATCAACAGGAACATCAGAATTTATCTTTTTGAATCTATGCAAAAAGTTCAGTTGGGACCGAATAATCCTTCAGCCAATCTTACTTTTTTCCTTCAGCATGTTTGAATTGTTTTGTTACTGTCACAGGACTTATTTAATTTAAGAAATGGACTTTTGAATCTCCGTATCTCTTTTGAAAACCCTAAAAACCATGTAATATGGCATTCTAAACTTCAATTTCGACATTCTTAGCTCCTTGAATGAATGCTATATATTTACAGTGCACAGTTCGGCTTTTTTCTTTAACAATGATGGAAGTGTGTGTCTCTCACTCCCAACTCTCTCCCCCTCTCTGGGTTTCTCTCTGCCTGTGCTGTAGGTTGCTGTGGGTTCACCATGCCTCGGGGATCTGGGTGTACCCCATCCTTGCCCAGCTCAGCCCCGCAGGGCTGATGCTTTTCCTGGCAGGCTCCGCCCTCGCCTTGGCACCCCTGTACCTGCTGGGAGAGAGGCTCAGCCACCTGCGCTGGGGTACGTAGGGAGGAATCAAGATTTGTGACACCTTCTGCCAGGTGCCTTGCTTTAACTCTAGTTTCCCCTGCAAGGTAGTGTCTTTTCAATCTGTAATGTTGTTACAGATTTGTTTAGTCTGTAAATGCTTGAAGACGCTTTCTCAGCATCAATACAGATTTGTAATAGTACACTGAAAGCCTGAAATACCATTGGTGTAATAGCCCTCTCTTTTGTACGACAGTAATGAAATATATTGGTGTATAATAAGAACAGTCTAATAATGAATTAGAAATAAATCACTGGTATGTGTTGCCTCCATATTTATTTTGTCTATGATACATATCTAACTTTCATTTTTACTCTGTTTAAAAGGAAAATTCAGCAAAAAGGAATAGGATTTTTCCAGCTGTGGTGTGGATTTCAATGAGACGACAGAATCTTCTCAATAATGAAGAACAAATTAATTGAATGAAGAAACTTAAATCATTCCCCTGGATGACAGAATACCTAATTGTATACTAAGGTGCAGATCTGACGGGCTTCAGTCCTGTACAGAGAAACAAACTTGTGCATCATGTGACTGGCTTCAGAGGATTCAGAACAAAACTGTTTTACAATATTACTTCAGTATTGGAGTTCTCAAATTAAGAGTTTCCCATCATTTTTTTTCTCTTAAGAGCTTTTACTGTAAGAACATTGGGGAAATATGTCAATGCTACACCATAGTACTTCAGCAAAAGGTAGCACTAATGGGCAGTGTGCATTACTTTGTTTCCCCTGTACATAACTGCTAAATCACAAAAGACTTTGTCGTGTTTTATCCATTATAGGGCAGAATGAAGGACAGAAATGATGGGGAAGAACAAATCACTGTGTAGGCAGTGGAACTCAAAAACAAATTAGTCATCTATGTTGTGGAAGCAGATGCCATCAAGTAAAAGCTGGATGAGGTCTTTTGATCAGTTTTGCTGCTACTAACTACACAAGCCAGATTGGAACAAATGACCCCCTCTTCTTCGTGAAATTTCTGATTTTCTTATTCATTCAAGCTGCTGGTGGGAAAAAAATAAAACATAAAAATGCAGGTGATGTAATGTGTTTGCAATGCACTTCTGAGGTAATCGCTAAAAAAATAGTTGTAGCAGAATTCATTGTAAAGTAAGGTTTTATTTTTTTTAAAGGCAATAACCTGTACTTTTATACTGTGGTATGTTTCTTACTTTTCTAACCCTGACATTTGCACTATATAGGAAAATGCGTGTGTGAGAATAAATCATTAGTTTCTTACACTGTCAATGTAAACAACTGCTATCGTGCATTTCAGCTATGAAGTATAGGATCCATAAAATGTACTGTAATGAGAATTGTTTTCTGTGTAAACTGCATCACATTATTTATATTTTGCATCCTTGGTATTCAAGCCTACTGTCTCCAATGTACTTTTGTTTAAAAAACAGATATGCTATTGTCCATTGAAATACATGCTTTTAATGTAAAAATAAAACTTTATCACATAACTTTTCATATGCTTTATTGAATTACCTATTCAATAAATTCAATATTTATGTCCATTTCTTTCTATATATATATAGGATGATGCCATTAAGTAATCATTCTCTTAGACTGTATTTCATGACACAAAACAAATTGTTATAAATATTATTCTTCAGAAATGAACATGCTGAACCAACAGCCAAGCAGCTAATTTTTTCACTGTTCCAGGAAATTATAAAAAACATTCAGATATATAGTATATTGATGCATTCCTGGTATATAATTGTAAAAAAAAACTTTCTTTACTCTTTAATTTTTTTTCTTATAAATAGTAAGTCTCCTATTTCCATCCAAATCGTTTTTTTTAATGTTTTACTCATTGAATGTTCAGATCTAAAGGTGTGATATATATACTTAATTTTCAATAATTTACAAAAGAAATGTCTTTATTATGTAAGATTTTCCAATGTCTAAATGATTTTTGTTCCTGGAATGTGATGTGCAGTTAGAACTGGCATTCTACCTGGAAAGTTCCTGTTTAAATACTGAATTAATAACAGAGCAGAGAAGTTGTTCTGCTCTATATAACTGTGCATATTATTCTTTAGTGACGTTTAATACAGATTAAATGCTGCTACTCTATGTAGGTTCTGAGCGCAGGAACTGTCTATTTCTTTATATGTAATCTTATAAGCTTATTTAGACACGTATGAAGTCTTTTGTTTATGATCTTGGCCAAAATATTAGGAACCGCTAATCAAATGATCAGATTCTTGGTGAAAGACAAAGCATGACTTGAGTCAATACTGGGGTCCCTCGAAGAAAAGGCTGGATCAATAAATCGGTAACTCACATAAGGGCTAGAGCAGGGACAAATATGCTCCATTTGTTTCCAACAGTTCTGATGTGCTTGTGGAACGTGAGACAGGTCTTCCCCGGAGAAAAAGATCCACAGATCTCAGTTCTGTGGGAAAATGGTGGGATTTGCTGTTCTGTCCCACACTTTACCCTCCTGTCTACTTCAAACCATCCTGCTAAATGAATCAGATGATATTGGACCACAGATATTTCAAAACTTGCACGATGCACCATGCTCGAGCTATTTTGTAGCTTCTCGCAGAGGCCCAATTCATTTTTTTAGGCATTTCAACGATTTCTTTGCTGTATTTTTTAATTTATGTTATTGCATTAAGCTGGATAAGTTCCAAGCATTTCAGAGCAATGCGTGAAATTTACCAAATAAACTAAAACAGGTAAAGGCACTAATCCATATATCATCCACACCATGTGCAAGTACAATTTAACTTTAACCATATTAAAATTAACCATAATTTGTATGTATTATTACAGTTTCGCTTTACTCATACATCGATATCCAGTAGCCAACAGCACTGAGCGAGCGCAGCTTCAACCATCCGGTCTACGTCAAGACGCAGGACGTCGGGGTCACGGTGGGGTTACGTTCAGTGTGTGAAGTACGGCGGCAGTCTGCGAGTTTACAACAAAGTAGTAGGTTACTCTTATTCTTTTTTTTAACATAGTTATACTGACTAAATAGAGTGGATTTATATATCAATATAAATCATATAATTTTTACGATTGTGTGGTCATGTAAAAATCGTGTGATAAGTACGTTTGCTTTGTGCGGTGGTGAAATTGTGGTGAATTTCTGTTACATTTTGTAAATGCAATGGCTGGATTGTGATAAATAATTTGCCTCAGTAACCCCTATTTATTATTTATCAGGTTTCAACGGTTAGAGATGGCAACAGGCAGAAACACTTGTAATAAAACGGTAGCTTAGTTAGCTGAAAAATGCGTTTCCTTGTTTTGCTGCGGTTTTTTTCCCCATCCAACTGATGACTGGCACCACCATGGTATCTGTGGGTGCTCGTAGTATTTAGTGTCCAGCTCGACCATTTATCAGAAAAAACCAAGGGAAATGTTTTTATGATTACCGTACGTCTTTTTAGTTATAAAGTGTCAATAGGTTTCTGATGTACTGAGTTTATCTGTTCAGAATCTACACGTTCGTTTTATTTATCCGTTTGTTGTGTACCTTTCCGTAAACATCCAAGCATATTCAACTTTTCCTCGTGTAGATAGAGATGAGATGGGGGAGAAATATCTGTTGATGCATTTTACCATTGCAATGAAGGAGGAACGTTAGCGTTCATCAAAATGATGTGTTCACTGCAAGTGACTGTAGAATAATCCAGACATCTTGTTTTTTTCCTTGGATGTGTCTGCTGATGGGAGCAATCTTGGGTGAAAGCTGGATGAGAGACCATAGTTACTTCCTAATGCCTCATTAGTGACAGAAGATTTATTTTGGACGTAATGCTATGTGTCTAATGAACATAAGTGCATTTCCAAGTGAATTTTCTCATTTTCTCGTTTTCTCTTGAAACAGCGATGTACCGACCTAAGGCCACCCTGAGGGACAGGCAGCACCTGTACAAGCTGATTATCAGCCAACTGCTGTATGACGGGTATACCAACATTGCCAACTGCCTGATCAATGAGGTCAAGCCCCAGAGTGTGGTCTCCCCTTCAGAGCAGCTCCTGCAGCTTGCCAAGCTGGGTAAGGAAGCTACTGTCTTAGGGAACAGGTCTTAGATTGAGAAGGCAGGGGGGTATTGCTGGTAGGAAGACCTGGATTTTTTTCCCCAATCAACTTCAATTTTTGTTTTATGGCGGCTCGTACTGTGTCATGAGCTGATCCACGTTTTTGCTCTAGAGTTGCTTGAGAGGAGAAGAACGTTTGTGGCATCAAGAAAATCCGTTTGACTTAAGTGTACCTTTTCCTGATTTGCGTGCATGGATATGAATCGGACATTTTTATTAAAAGCTTATTTTAGGCAAACAGGTTGTTTTTTTTTTAGCATCCCGAAGCTCAGTTCACGCCTTGGCCGTGTGTCTTGTCTCTGCAGGCATGGAGAATGATGATAGTGCCGTGCAGTATGCCATTGGGCGCTCAGACACTGTTGCGCCAGGGACGGGCATTGACCTGGAGTTTGATGCAGATGTGCAGACCATGTCCCCCGAGGCCTCGGAGTACGAGACCTGCTATGTCACCTCACACAAAGGCCCCTGCCGAGTAGCCACCTACAGTCGGGATGGCCAGCTGATAGCCACAGGCTCTGCTGATGCTTCCATCAAGATCCTGGACACAGAGCGCATGCTGGCCAAGAGCGCCATGCCTATAGAGGTAAGGCGTTACCAAGGGGAAGAGAGAATAGGCATGGCTTCACGGTCTGAAACTCAGACTTTTAAATTATATTAACAGTGGTCTGCCTCCTTATGAGCTGGAGGCTGAGGATGCAAGCTCAGTCTGTCATTTAGCAATCTTTTTGTGGCAGAAGACGCAAGCATTTAACTTACCTCAACTTGATTGATCAGGCAACACACAAATGCTCCCCCATTGTACAGCTTTCCACGGGGCATATCCACAGATCAGACCCACCCCTGGCTGAAAGCTTGCAGAACTAAATGCACGGTATGTAAAGCCAATAAAGCATAAGAAAGTACAGTGTAATACATTATTAAATATATTCTGATCAGAAGCTTCATAAGATCAGAAGAATTATTTTTTTACTAAAATAAAATTTGAGTTTTTTTTTCCCGTTATAGTTGACACTATTTTTACTTTGCTGTTAATTTGATGATTTAAGACAATATGGCCCAGTATGGAAAATTGATTAATCCATTTATCTTCAGTGTAGTTTTTGTGTATGTTTGCATTATTTGATATATAAACTTTTTTAAGATGAAGAGCAAATCAAACTTTAAATTAAATAATGCAAATCAAAAGTGCAACAAGGAGTGCAATGCAAAGAGTAATAAAGTTATTAAACAAGTAAACATCCATTAAAGGTGTCAAATGTGCAAATTATATTTAATATGTAATTATGTGTGTGGTATATGTAAATGGTCACCCTGTTCTTTCAGCTGTTTGATTAAAGCTGTGTAACTTATGTGTACTGTAGCTACTTGTTGTCAAGTGCAAACCTTATATCAAGCCCTGATCATGCATTTTATGTCTCGCACTGGGTCAGCCTCTTGAAGTAGGTTGTTGCAAACCCAGATAGATTATTTTACACTTGAGAAAAGTTTGATCTGAATCGCCATAACTCTGTTCAGAGTGTCAGTTTTAAAGTTCCTCAAGATAACTTCCTTGTCTGTGTGTCTAGCAGTGCTTATTTTCAGCCACAGTTGTCTAGAGCTTACCTTCTATAAATATTTTCACATCCTGACTGAGCCTGCTCAGTGAAGTATACTGTTGAAATGCAACATTACTGTCAAAGGTTTTATTGTGCAAGACCTCAGGCACCTCTTATATTTGGACATCGTTCCATATATGAAGAGCCACACAACAGCAAGATTCTTTTACATTTTGCCAGGTCACCAGCAACTTGTTTTGAGTACTTTAAATTTTCTGTCAAAAAATACACTTATTTGGTTTTGCAAGGCAAACTAAAGTCTCTGACTCTGAGCACCGTGAGGAAGACAGTGGTGTCAAAAAAGAGGAAGAAGCAGTGCAGAGCACTGGAACACAATGTAACCACTGACCTGTTGATAATCAGGAACAAAGGTGGGAAAATGTGGTAGATTTTAGGTAAAGTAATTGTTTCCTATAAATATATGGTTGTACTGTATAACCTCTTGCACAGATGAGAAGAGACCAAGTCTCAAAGAACCCTGATGCGATGGGCGCTCTGATTTTGTGGACTTATTTTTTTGTGTTTTTTTTTATGTGACATTTGGATTCCCAGAAATATCCTATAGGAATTTAAAATCTGGTGTGTAATTGTGTACCTTTGTAACGTTTTGTTAAGGTACGAGTAAATATGATCATTTTGTGTAATGTATAAGAAAATAAATTTCTTTTTTCAGAGGTGCATATTTGTACTGAATCTGTGAATTAAGATACAAATATTTTTCTTCTGTTCCCCAGCTTCTGTACGTGTTGTTTCCAAGCATTTATATTGTCCTGGAGTTTCAGCACCATTCACTTGCTATTCTGAACACTTGGGGTCACTGTTGTCCCTTGAATTTTCCACCTTGCTCTAAAGTTAAACAGAAAAGGAGCAGCAGTGTAGTTCATTATAGTTATTGACAGGGGCAAATTCAATTTGTGTCCTGAAATAGCTCCTATTTAACTAAAAGCCAAAGTAAATCCCATGTTTACATGCTGTGGCTAAAAAAATCCAAAACTTGTTGTTGAAGTTGTTCGTTGGTTTCAGACACCGTTCCTATAAGACTTAGTGTCTTTTGCTTTTTCTTCCAACCTGAGCAGTCATTTAAACTATTTCCCTGTATAGGATTTTCATACATAAAATCTTTATTTTTAATATTTAAATCTTATTTTGGATATTTCTAACATTCCTTTCATTAAGGACGGTTAAGTATAAAACACCTGGCAGTAGTATTTATTACAGTTAGCTATTCAATTAGTAAGTATAATGACTGTAGCAGAGAACTTGGGTAAAGGAAAACCCAGATGACGCAAGGCCCTCCAGGAGTTTGAGGCCCCTATCCTATTTAGAACAAATGACAGGAGAAGTCTGTAACATGTTCCATGTTATCGGTTCTGGTTTGTGTTACACTGCTGTGCTGAACAACATCTGCCTCCTCATGTCTGAATGATTTCAGATGTCTTTCTGCCTTTCCACTGCTGAAATATGAAGTTTATCCAGGTCTTTTTCTCAGTGAGTTCCTCTTGGCTTATTTCAGGTGATGATGAATGAGACAGCCCAGCAGAACATGGAGAACCACCCTGTGATCCGTACACTGTATGACCATGTAGATGAGGTGACCTGTCTGGCCTTCCACCCCACAGAGCAGATCCTGGCCTCAGGTTCCCGGGACTATACACTCAAACTGTTCGACTACTCCAAACCCTCCGCCAAAAGAGCCTTCAAATACATACAGGTACACAGGGTGTAGACATACATTGTGGTCCACTTATTGGACTTACTGGTCATGTATGTTTAGGTTAATAAATGTTTAGAAGGTTTGCGTGTTTGCATAATATAGCCAGTGGCAGGTGTGAGCCTGGCCAGTACCTGGATGGAAGACCTCCTTAGAAAGCTACGGTTGCTGCTGGAAGAGGTGTTAATTGGGACCGGTAGGGGGTGCTCACCCTGCGGCTCATGTGGATCCTGTGATGATGGGGACACTGTACTGTACAAAGGTGCTGTCCTTCTGATGAGTCAAAAAACTGGGGTTCTGACTCTCTGTGGTCATTAAAAATCCCAGGGCATTTCTCGAAAGGAGTAGGGCTATACAGCGTCCTGGCCAAATTGTCCCCTGTCCTTTACCAGTTATGGCCACCTAATAATCCACATCTATGAACTGGCTTCATCACTCCCCACTGAGAGCTGGTGTGTGGGGAGCAGACTGGTGTACTTTTGCTGCCGTCACATCATCCAGGTGGGGGCTGCACATTGTTGATGTGGGGGGGGGATCCCTATTAGCTGTAAAGCGCTTAAGGAGAGTGTCCAGAAAGTTTTTTATAAGTATAATGATTATTTAATATGATATGTTTATGTGTTATAATGGTTCAGTTTCTTTTTGAAATAATTTGTAGATTGGTATCTTAAACCTGTGTGTTGGCGGATGTGAGCTAACATTTTAATAAGAATCTTGTTTCACACTTTTCTTATTTTCCGTGCATTCCTATCAATGAGACTCTGACATTTTTCTCGTGATTTCCCTCGGGTGACCCACAAGGAAGCTGAAATGCTGCGCTCCATCTCCTTCCATCCCTCCGGTGACTTCCTGCTGGTGGGCACCCAGCACCCCACCCTGCGGCTGTACGACGTCAACACCTTCCAGTGCTACGTGTCTTCCAACCCACGGGACCAGCACACCGACACCATTTCCGGCGTCAGCTACAACCCCACCGCCAACAGCTACGTCACCTGCAGCAAGGATGGCAGCATCAAGCTGTGGGACGGCGTGTCCAACCGTTGTGTGGCCACCTTCGACAAGGCACACGACGGGGCCGAGGTCTGCTCGGCCATCTTCTCCAAAAACTCCAAGTACATCCTGTCCAGCGGCAAGGACTCTGTAGCCAAGCTGTGGGAAATCTCCACAGGGCGCACACTGGTCAAGTACACAGGTGGGGAGACCTGCTGCCTGGCCATTCTTACTTGAATCTGATCTGATCTGTGTTTCTCCTTCCAATATGTTGCGTTTTTGTGTCAACCTACCCAAAATGCACAGACTGTTGAAGAACAGAGTGAGGTGTTCAGTTTAGACTTGGTTGAAGATAAAGGGAGCTTTTCCGTAGCTCCTGTTTTGCATTTTATATCCCTTTCCCTTCCCTTTTTTTATCTCCATTTGAAAAATGTGTTACTAACTCACCTTAGTTAGTAGTCTTATGTGATTGAGCTCAGATCAGTAGTTTATAATAGTAAATCACTGTCATGGTAATTGTAAGAGTGAATTGTCTTGCTCTGCCAAGGTAGTCTGCTGAAAGACTTTTTGCAGTCTGGTGTAGACATGTCTTTTTCCAAAAAAAAGTCAAGGTTAGTACTAGAAAGTTATAGTTTCATTACATCTCAATGCTAAACTTCCTAATTTAATGAATTGTTGGGTAAATGGAGTTTTATCCCCCTGCGGTAGTTTAGATCTCTCTTCAGAGCAGGACATTGTTTTGCCTGTGCTCTCCAGAGGTTCTGTGCAGTTCGCTGCAGTTTGTCTTGCAGAGATAAGTGTATTTTGAAGTGGCTTTGCAGCTAGGTAAGAGTACCGGACTGCCTGTTCCTTCTCTAATTGAAACTGCTGCTCCTTTGTCAGGTGCCGGTCTGAGTGGGCGCCAGATGCACCGGACCCAGGCAGTGTTCAACCACACCGAGGACTACGTGCTGCTGCCGGACGAGAGGACCATCAGCCTCTGCTGCTGGGACTCCCGCTCGGCCGAGAGGAAGAACCTGCTCTCCCTGGGACACAACAACATCGTGCGCTGCATCGTCCATTCGCCCACCAACCCCGGCTTCATGACCTGCAGCGACGACTTCCGAGCGAGATTCTGGTACCGTCGCACCACTACGGACTAGAAGTCTGTACCCCCCTTTGCTCTAGGAGCTGCTGTATCTGCCAAACCGCGCCGATCCCGGCCGCTTTTCCTCTTACCCGTCAGCCACTCAGCAGAGAGAGTCAGGGCTGGATACTGTCAAGCATATTTGGATGAAGGGGATGTCAAAAGCAAGCTTTATTGTTTCAAAACGTATGAAGAAAGTGACTAGGAGTTCATAAATTGGATGACTTTTTTTCTCCCCCTGCGTTAAATAATCTGCCTTCTATTTATGTGCATGTCTTAGTATTGTGAATTACCATTTTTTTGAAGGTGTTGCACAATAGGATGAGTAGCATTATGGTTTTATGGGTCCGAAAATGTGACGGATCAGCTATTCAGTCTCTCTGATCTTGTTTACTGTATGTTGCAATTTTGTTCACCTGCACAACTTGGAAGGTTATGTAGGATATATCTCGAATTAAAGTTGGTTGTTTTAATGGGGGGTATTTTTTGATGGTTTCAGAGACATCGTTACTATAGCACATCAGCCTGAATTGCAGAGGCAAAATGTTTTTTTT